TCGCGAGCACCCGCGCCACCGAGCAGCTGTGAAGCCGTGCTTGGAGCACGGCGCAGGGGCCGTCGCGCGCAGGACCGCAGTGGTCCCAGCCTGGCTGCGGAGCACAGCTACGAGCACCCAAAAAACTGCACGTGGCACCGTGTCCCGGCACAGGCCACAAGCGCGACCGAACGCATAAAACAGCAGCGCAACAGCGCGAAGGATCGCCGCTGCCAGTCAGGGGCTGACCGGGTAGAAACGAGTGGGAGAGAAAGACTTGGCTACGTTAGTCAGACGGTCAGTCAGTAGCGTGGCAAGATAGCAGAAAGGCACGTGGGATTCACTGTTCTCCCTGTAGGAAAGGACAGGGAAGAACTGCAGCGGCAGCATTGCTAAAACCGCATCTGGGACACGCTACCTCTGTGCTGACCTTCAGGAAGGATGAACTTTGGCTGAAAAGAAAAAGAGAAAAGGAAAAAGATCGTGGAGCTCTTACCGTAGAGAAGGAGACCAGGAGAGCTGTTGAGCAAAAGAGAAGCCAAGAGAAGATGGGTCCATCCCTCAAAAGCATGGAAAGAGAAAAACTACTCAAACATAGGGCTAGTCCAAGAACAAGCAAGTGCCCCTAAACTTTTAAATGTGCGTGAAGCTCTGGGACAGCCTCCAAGCAAGAGCAGCAGTGGAAAAACGTGTTTCATACAGACTACGTTCAGTTTGCGCAACGCGCAGCACAGCCCCCTCCCTCCTCGTTCTGCTTTCTAGGTCGGCGCTGGGTTTGCATCTCCCTTTCCACCCGGGGGCTGCGTTCACGGACTGCCTGCTTGGCGAGAAACAATTGCGCACACCCAAACTGAGCGCTGCCCAAACTTGCGCTAAAGGGCGCAGTGCAATGCGCTAGTGCAGCGCAAGGGTCCATAGCAACTTACAGGTTGGGTCTGATCTGTTCCTTCCTGCCGTTTCCACAGCGTCTGCACATTAACATCCCCTCAGTCGCCAAAGAGCACCACACAGCTGGGCGCGGGGCGGCGCTGTCGTTGGCATGACACAGGGCTGCTAGTCAGGGAAACTCGGCCAGTGCTTGCCCGTGAAGCAGAGAGGAAACCCGTTAAGATGAGGCAGGTAGTGGCTTTGCTAGAAGTCCTGTTGAAGCCAGCCCCTTGTCAGGATACCAAGTCAATAGCTGAATGGTCAAGGCTTGGATGTTCCTCCATGCTGATCTAACAACAAAACACCAAGACCGCAGCTGTTGACCATGAAAGCGCAAGGCAAAGTTCGGCATGCTGCATTTTCCCCTGCTTGAACTTTTTTGCCTTGCTTTACAGCGTAAACTCAGTGGGGTAGGGGCTCCCTTTTTGTTTACCTCTCTGCCCTCAGAGGCATAGGGTCTAAGACAAGGGATCCTCAGTATTCCCCCGGTAAAAAATCATGAATGTTATTTCCTTATTTGTTTACTGCCGGATACTACACACCACACATACAGTAGTTGTCATTTGAAGTGATGGAGGGTGTTGGATGTCTCAGTACGTAAAGGGATCATTTTGAAATACTTCCATGGGCGCGATGTTCAGAAAAGCTCAGCACGCGTTTTTGGAGGCAGCAAAGGCCTCCTCCAGGCAGGCCAACAGAAGGGAGGGACGTCAGTAGCACGGCCGCCGAAAACGCTTGCAAAGGAGAGAAAAGCCCCGCCGGGCAACATGCAGAAGGGCTTCAGCAATACAGTAGAGCCAGTACTTCTGACTTACGCAAGGGCATTTGTCTTATACTGTACGTTTGTACATATTACGTATACCTCTATGAAGCTGTATATCGTCTTTTTAAACCTCCCCTGCCCCCAACAGTAACGCTGAAGCATGGTGGCACTTTGTATAATCATCAAGCCAGTGACAGGAACCTTAGGTTGACAACTGCAAGCTTGTCAGTGATCCGTGCTAGCTTGTTTTTCAAAATAGTTTTTTTCTAAAAGTAAGAGCAGTTCTTTTAAGCAAACTTCTGACTCACAACAGCAGCCTGGCCTATGGTATGAGTCCTGCACGCGAAACGCTGTTCCAG